CTACTTGGGAGGCTGAGGCAGGAGAATTGCCTGAACCCAGGAGGCGGAGGTTGCGGTGAGCCGAGATCACTCCATTGCACTCCAGCCTGGGTAACAAGAGCGAAACTCCATCTCAAATTAAAAAAAAAAAAAAAAAAAAAAATTATTCACCAGTGAAGAAGTAGGACTGACCATAGTTCTTAACCTGCATTGTACATGATTCTATGTCTTCTATTAGATCGTAATGTTCCTTTAAGCCAAAGACCATTTATCTCCAGGAGCTGACACAGTGCCTGGCACATAGTAGGTGCTCAATAACATAGCAGAGACTACTATCTGCCTATCCCAACAGCCAATCAATTTCTCTTAGTAAAAGCAACCCCAGTTATTGCCAGTGAAAGGTAAGAAGTACTACCTGGAAGATTCTAAGAAATGTCCTCAAAAACTACTAACCGCCACTACTTCAGCACACATCCCACTGGCACTGTGCAGCTTAGAATGCAGATGAAAGGATCGGTGCTCCAACTTGGATCCTGGGGGTGATGGAGACAAAAGCTGGAAGCAGCCGAGATGCCAGGTGACTGCAGAGCTGACAAAGCAGCCCTGGTCTGCCTTCTTTTACAGAGCAGCCATTATTTGGAAATCTTTGTTATTTGGGATCTCTATCATTTGTAGAGAAACCTAATCCAAACTAATAAATGATCTGATATCCAACTTCTAATTTTTGCTAATAATTGTTATATTCTCCAAGAAAAGTACGAATGTTGCCTTAATTCATGTTCTAGTTCTGCTGTTTCTCTAGTCCTGCTTCTTCTTTCCACTGACACACTTTGAAATGCAGTGTTTCCCCAGCTCTGATTTCCTTTCACAGCCCATTTTGCTCTGTCACTTGTATCCCTTGTTAACCAATTCCTCTTCTCCAGCGAAGGTGTCTCAGTTACTTCCCTCTTCAACATGACATGGGCATGGCAGCTCACAGCAGTAATCCCAGCACTTTTCAAGGCCAAGGCAGGAAGACTGCTTGGGACCAGGAGTTCGAGACCAGCCTGGGTAACACAGTGAGACCCTGTCTCCACAAAAAATAAACAAAAGTTACCCAGGCATGGTGGCATGCACCTGTAGTCCCAGCTACTAAGAGCAAGCTGGGAAGACAGCTTGAGTCCAAGAGTTCAAGGCTGTGGTGAGCCATAATCTCGGCACAATACTCCAGCCTGTGTGACAGAGCAAGACCCTGTTTCAAAAAAAAAAGACACAACCTCAATACCCCAGTAGCATCCTTAGACAATGCCTTCATAAAGGAGAAGTTTCCACAAATAAACAGACTTGTTCTCTGATAGCTTCATGGAGAAGAAAAAAACACATGTAATATTTATATAATTCTTCTGGGAGCAAAGGTAATCCTAATTTGCCGGCCGATAATTTTCCATACTATTAAAATGCTCATAATTTTTGTGAATACAGTCTTTCATTCTCTTCACTTGCTTATTCTTGTTATCCTTAAATTTCAGAAGAATTTCAAGTGGTTAGTTATCTTTCTGTTAATCCTGTAAGATACAAGAATTTTAAGTTTCCAAGCTGACAAAGATTCTTTGTGTGACCAAACTTCAGTCAGGATCCTGAACCTTTCCTGGGACCATCTGTGTACTTCTTTCTAAAATCCAGTTTTTAGCAAAGAACCCTGCTAAGGCAGTTCAGCAAGAACCTCCCACCTTGATACCTAATCACTCTCAGTATCTGATCAGGTTTCTCATCCTCCACCCGCACCAGCTGATGTCTGATCATCCTGGCCTGTCTTCAGCAAGAATCCTATGAGGTCAATTTAGGCAGAATGCCCCTGACCCCTGATGTTTCCTCTTAGTAATTTCCTGTCCACTGACCCTCACCTTGCTCCCTGGCTATAAATGACCACTTGCCCAAGCTTTGGTCCCTGTATCTCCTACTAAATAAACACTGCCTCGTGCCTTAATAAGTAACATTGAATAATTTTTTCTTTAACAAACGTAAATTTCATTTTAGATATTAAAAAGAAACAGTGTTATAAATTTAATAAATTACTAATTATTATTCCTACTTCCTCAAAAAAACTTCATTTCCGAAAACCTTTTTGCATTATTTTCACTCATTTATTTAGTCTTTCTTTGCTTTAGATCTGATTTAGAGGATTTTTCTATCTGCTTTACTTACTAGAAGCTGTAGGGCATCTGTTTTCCTGTTCGTATTTGTTCTCTTGTGCTTGTCTTATCTTTTTCTTTCTAATTTACTCGTGTTTAGAAGTTGCTATCTTCCCTTTCTGCTCTGAGTGTAGATAAGAACTCTGAATTGTAGTTGTGATTCCTATACTTGCTGTCTAAGGGTTAGGGTTAGGTTTGTCTAAGGGTTCTGTACTTGCTGTCTAATGGTCACTTTGCTCTTTTGACCTAGCAAACTTGATTTTTATGAGTTCCAGATAATTTCATGGTATCATAATGAGTTTAGTAACAGAAGTAACTCTGTACTCTCTCATAACTTCCCAAAAGTTTCCTCATGGAGACAACTAAAATTCCACAAACCATGTGAAGAAAGCAACATAAATGGCCTCAAACTTTACTTCTACTTTCTTTTCAAGATACTTGAGCAGGAGCTCTGACTTTTCTGTAACTGGAACTGCACAGGGAAGCAAGAGATGCCACCCTGACCATAGATAACTAGAAACCTCTAAGCAAAGCAAAGGTTACCTTTCCTAGTTAGTAAGATAAAATGCAGAACTGTGAAGGGCTCCTGATATCTCTGGATATCACCCCATCTGGTGATATCTTCAAACCTTCAAGGCTGAACTCAGGAGTTCAAGACCAGTCTGGCCAACCTGGCACTCTACCAAAAATACAAAAAAAAAATTAGCTGGGCATGGTGGCACATACCTGTAATCCCAGCTACTCCAGAGGCTGAGGCAGGAGAATCTCTTGAACACAGGAAGCAGAGTTTTCACTGAGCTGAGATTGTGCCAAAGGAAACATGGTCTAGTTTAGACTCACCTCAACCAAAACAGCTCTTAATTGTTTTATATTGAAATTCTGGGTAAGATTTTCTGTCAAAAAGGGGTTCAAATATTATTTTGCTTTTAAGTTTTAGAAAGCAATTGTAGCCTACCAGAAAAGACTAAAATACCAAGTGTTGGTAAAGATGTAAGGCAACTAGAACGTACTCATCTACAGTACGGCCATACATCAAAGAGACACTTTGAAAAACTGTTAGGAAGTATCTGCTACACACATACACACTTTATCCAGCAATTCTACTCACTGGCATGTACCCAAAGGAAATAAATGCTATGTCTACCAAAAGTAATGTACAAAAATAGCTCCAAACTAGAAAGACCCCAAACATAATAGCTCCAAACTAGAAAGACCCCAAATGCAGAAAATCTTGGAATAAGCATTAGTAGATTCTACTCTTGGTTGTGATATGTTAATTTGTGACAAAGCATAAAGCCTTACTGGGCCTCCATTCCAGACACTGAAATGCTAAGTAAGGTCTCTTTGCTTTCTAAAGTTCACTAATTCATAATATAATTTCTACAAATTTTCTTGGTCTTTATGTTTGCCTTAAACATAGCAAGTATATACAGAAAATGCTCTCTTCCTGATTGGCAGCAATATTTAACGTAAGCACATCTCTTTAATCCCGACTGAAGAGCCTGGTGGTCTAACAGGCTCCTTTATATTAGCATCAGTGTCAGGCCATCGCATAAGCACAAATACTGAAATACCTAATACAAGTGATTAAAAATCAGTTATAGTCTATTATCTGGAAAAAATAATACACTGCAATGAGAGTAGCTAAAGCTAAAATTTTCTCTGAGTCAATAAACATAATCTAGAGCCAGTAGAGTGATTGCACATAACTTGTAATCAATAATTGAAAGCTAGGTATAAGCAGGCAGCTGTTCCTTTGAGATTATCTACATGAGAAATCAATATTTACTATACAAGTTCTAAACAGTGAAAAAAAATTAAGGAGATATTCCTTGGTGAAAGTAAGAAGGACACACAGGAAAGTATACTGCTTTTTTTTTTTACAGGGGTTATACATTAATAAATGAAAAAGACAAAAATAAAATTTAATTGTAGCCAACTTTTCTTCATGAAGAGATGCTATCTGAATTTAAAAATAGTTTCTATTTTTATATCTCCATTCCAGGTATATAAGTCATCAAGTCAGGTTATCAGATCAAATGAGGGCATACTTGTTTTTACTTCATGAGAAAAGAAGCAAAATGCTAAAAATCATCTTTGAGAAGTTTTAAATCCAAGAAACTTCTTTTATGGATTAGGTTTCCAAATTCTGGAGATTCTAGCCTTTTGTAAAAAATAAGAGAAGATACATGCATCAGATGACAAAGGAAGCACTACACATAGTAAAATGCCGTGGAGAAAAGCATGACCTCATTGAGACCGAAGCGTGGATTCAAATTCTGGCCTTGCCATCTAATGAACAAATTGTCTTAATCTTACCAGACTCAGTCCTCTTGTCCATAAAATGAAGAGATTAGTTTAGTGCCTTTATATTTCTCTACCAGCAAAAATTTCAAAATGCTTATAATTCACTATGTGCTCATTGACATGACATGTGCACTTCCTGACTTTAACTTTAATCCACACAAAAGCCGACTATCCTCATTACCAACAATAATAGAAATGAGAAATCAGAAGCCGCTAAAACTGAATGATGGACACCAGGGTCTGAGGCCTTGAAGAAGGCTTTTAACCACCTGTAAGCTGGGTTTGCATCCATCAAACAAATAAAGAAGGCCATGATGCATACATGAAAAAGTGAAGTATAAATAACTGAAAGTCTACAATAAACTAGGGGAGAATTAATTTAAAAAAGAAACCTCATCAATGAAGCTGTATCTGTTCCAGAAAAGGTTTTCAGTTTCCATATAGCCACACGCACATACATATACACATATATACATAAAACACACCAATAAATATATTATTAGCTAAATAAAGAGTCAAAATAAAAAACAATCTCCTACTCACTTCGACAGAGACACGCCCCCAGCTTTCCCAATCATCTCTTCGTGGTGCAGCACCGAGTGGTTCCAGGGAATCTGGAGGAACTTTAAGAGTGTTCTCATCCACCGTTCAGGATGTAAGACAAGCTGTTCATAGTGAACCAACATGCACTTTTTATAACCAACCTCCATACACTGGTTATACATGGTCTCTATGGCACGATTCCACTTGGTCAAGCAGTCCCTGTAGCTGTTCAGGTCAAATCCAGCTATAGTAACTTTTCGAGAAATCATCGAATGTACTGATGCCCGGCCATCTCGGACCATCAGGAGAAATCTGGCATTGGGGAACAACCTAGCAAGGTAAGTTAAGGATTTCAGGGCAAAAGGATCTTTATTACATAAATAAGGGGCTGGCTCCCCATGCTTAACGATGATTTCTAGCAAGAAGGCTTGCATGGCAGAATCCAGCACTTCGTCAGTGACACCAGCCTCATCCAACCGGATCTTCTCTTTACTTGACCGTGACCACATCTGCTTCAGGGCCAGGATTCGGGGAATGACCCTGGTTTCCTCTCCACAGCGAATGTCAGGATGCGCATCCAGCATGGCCCTCATGAGTGTGGTTCCACTCCGAGGCACACCTCCAATAAATATTAAAGGCATATCTTTGTGATAGGCAAAGGTTTTATTGGCTTTGAAGTCCAGGCCAGTTCTCACAGTGGCCCTTGTGCTCTCTGATTTGACTGGTTGGCTGCGTTCTTCTATCCGGTGGTGGCATTCCATGGCATGTTGGCCCAAGTAAAACACGGTCACAGAACTAATCACCAGACATGCCAATAGTAAGTTCTGCTTCAGCTTTCCAACCATCTTGATGTGATTATCTTGTTATTAAACAGATATTTTGCTCAAAATGATTTTCAGAAAATGTTCAGGCCATGGAGAGTCTACTTCAGAAAGATGATCAACATCTAGGAAAAAGGAAAAGGTTATTTGTCATCACATTCCGATTGCTTGCAAACCAGTCACCAGTTATCACCACTGCATTGTAGCTAGAAAGAAGCTGAAACGGTCTTAGATTATTTGATATTCTTAAAACAAATTTCAGTAAAATTTGTTCTACTCAGTACCTACAGTATATACAAACATTACTATAATAATTTAAAACTTGTCCTTTACATTCTTTAACCCATGAATGAAAAATATTATTGAAAAGTTAAGTCAACAGCTGGAATGTAACAAAACCCACCAATAGTTTTGCCTAGGCCTTTCCTGGGCCTTATAGCATGGCAAAATAATGAAGGAATTCTTAACCCATTTAGGATTAAACAAGTTTTATGAGGGGTCTGAAGAAGCTCCCCAGGCCTCCACAAACAAGTTTACTGGAGGTCTGAAGGAACTCCCCAAACCTCCGTGATTTAGCAGGTGACAAGATAAGGGTAATCACCCCAGCACCTAGACCTATTTAGATTAAGTAAACTTACTGAGGCTCCAGAAGAAGGTCTTCAGGACTCAGACCTTAGTTACAGATTAAAAGAAGTTAATCACTTACATCTTTAGATGAACGCACATTTACACATAGATATATTGGTTAGAAAGTATATAAGCTCTAAAAAACTGTAATTTTAAGTTGGTCTGGCGATAATTTCCAGGCCTCCCTGTAACCAGTTACAGAAATAAAAACTCTCTTCCTCCCCAGTGCATCTGTATCTCGTTATTAGGCCGCAAGAAATAGCAGCCCGACCCTCAGTTTGGTCCTGGAACAAGACTGCAACATCAATTCATCTCTGCCCAATTGCCCTTTGAATCTCAGACTTGCCAGCCTCACAACCACATAAGCAAATTCCCTAAGATCAGTCTCTCTCTGTCCCTACCACCGGCCCCTCCCCAGATACATGTGTGGCATGTGTGTTATTCACCACTCTAAATTCGGTGAGACCCTTTCCAACCCACTAGCAGAGCAGTCAGTCCTAATGGTTTGCCTCGCCCTAACTACTGGTTCTGTTTTCCTGTAAAACCCTAACACAAGGGTTCGGTTTTGTTTTTCTGGAGAACCCTGAGGAACACAGTAAATATACCTGGGGAAATGACTAACTACACTAAAAAATACATTCCAAGAGGCAAGACTTCCACCTACAGCCTAGTGAGAAGGTAGTTAACTCCTCTCCCCAAAAACCAATGATAAAGCTGGTGAAATGGGCAAAACAACCCTTTCAATGCTCTGGGAATCCACCAGAAGAATAAAACAACCTGAGAAGCATTTATGCTAAAAAGTGGGTAAGAACCATGATAGTCTGTGTAAGGCTACTCCCATCTCACCATCTACCCATTCAACAGGTACAGAGGTTCTGCGAGGCAGAGCAGGGCAAGGCAAACCGTTAGGACGGACAGCTTTGCTACTGGAGTGGAAGGGAGTTCACTGAGTTTGCAGTGGGGAAGAACACACACGCCCAACTGCATTGTCAGAGTAAGTGACGGAGTTCAATCCCAGCCTGACCAACATGGTGAAACCTCGTCTCTACTAAAAAAACAAAAATTAGCCAAGAGTGGTGGCGCGCACCTGCAGTCCCAGCTACTCAGGAGGCTGAGGCGGAAGAATCACGTGAACCCGGGAGGCAGAGGTTGAAGTGAGCCGAGATTGCAACACTGAGCTTCAGACGGGCGACAGAGCAAGACTAAGTCTCAAAAAAAAAAAAAATTACCTTACCAACAATTCAACTGTAGGAGAATGAGATAACTACCTTTGAAACCAGAGACACAAAGTATTCACCAATCAGAAGCCAACATGCAAGGTGTCCCATGACTAAAGCAGCAGCCAGGAATTTCTGATACCCCCTAACGTCTTCCCATTAAGATACCCCCAGTATTCAAAACTAATTTTGAAGAACAAAAAAGAAACTGCAAATTCCCAGCAAAATACACACAAAAACGAAAACTGCAAATTTATTTGTGATGCATTTCCTTGCCCAAAAACATACACGTAGATCATTTTAATGGCTGCATCATATTCTACTGAAATGACTTAACACCATTTATCTGGCCAATTCTCTATTATTATTCACTTGTTTTTAAATCTTCATTACTGATATATTACTATGATAACTGTTCTTACATTTACAAACATCTTTGCACACATAATTGTTTGATTAAACTAAATTTTAGAAGAGAAATTGTTAGGTAAAGGAGGACGAAAAAATTCTGTTGGCTCTACTTTCAAAATAAAGTCAGAATCAGACTACTTCTCAACACATCCACTACCACTGCCAGCATCCTGCACCAGGATTACTGACAGGTATCCTCACTTCCACTTCTGCCCTCTAGAGTCTATTCTCAACTCAGCAGCTGAGAATATTATTATTCTCTTATTAACAAAAGAACCTGAGGTGGGAGGATTGCTCATGTCCAGAAAGTTAAGACCGCAGTGAGCCATGATCACACCACTGCCGTTTAGTCTGGGCAACAGAGCCAAACCTCAGCTCTAAAAAATTAATTAATTAGTTAGTTAATTAATTAAAATAAAATACAACAAAAAGATTGTGCCATTCCTCTGCTCAAAGCTTGGTATTTGTTTACCAAATGGTCATCTAAAGACTTTTTTTAAGGCATCCAACACCAAACTGTTAAATTTCTCTGCCTCTTTTCCTACCGTTTCTGTCAGGAAATCCCTATAGGCATCCAAAAAGTAGTACTAATTGATGATAATAGCTTAGGAGTCTGCTGTTCGAAGTAAAGTAATTGAGAAGTCACCCCCAACCTTTAGAGGTTTCATAAGGACTCAAATGACAGCAACTCCCTCTTTACTAAGGGATCATTTAGGGCAAAGGGAAACCTTGCCATATATTCAAGCATACTTGATAGTTGTCAAATGACACAATTTTGGGTGATTTTCTTCAAGTGTTAATTTCTGCTGTATTTTAAATGAAACATTGAAAGACATTAGCTAAACGCATGTTAATTAATGGGGGAGAGTATGTTCCACAGCCCCTTCAAGATACCTGAACACAAGTAAATAATCAAAGGCCTCGTAAAGGATACCAAGAAGGGAAAAGAAAAGGATTTGGGCTTCTCCAAAAACATTCTATTTTCACTAGGCTTGTGAAGCCTAATTTCTCTCTTTGGAGGTTTCTTAACTTGCAGAATCAGTCCTAAGAGGGATCTTTAGATCATCTACATATAACGCTCTCATTTTATACCTGTACAAACTGAGGTGCACGCAGCACACTCTACTCCTCACTTCTCTAAATCTTACCCATTCTTCAGAGTCACTTTTCACTGTATCGTATGTATCCCACTTGCTCTAAAAGATGTTGATGCCTGAAGCCCACAGACTGTGTCTATGTCCCGTCCTCTACCAGAGCATGCTTAGCAGAGCACCAGCTGGCAGTGTATACTGAGCCTATAAAACACATGGCACCTAACCAAACTGGGAAGTACCTTTTTTCTAGATGAGAGACACCATAGACTCTGAGGCTCTACTCACAGTTATACTACTTCTTCTCAAATTCTAAAAGAGGTAGTCCTTTGACTGAAGTACAGTAAAAGCCGGTCTGACCACTAGCCTTTTACACGGAAACACTGTGTGCATATGTGGTCTACATGCATGGGTGCACGTGCATACACACACAGACACAGGCCTCTATCAGTTACTTTTATTTATTTTGTTAATAATCAGCCCACAGACTTTGGTCTAGGTCCAAAGAGATGCTGGGAAGTGTCCTAGCAAAAGATCGATTCTAGGAATGGAACAACCCCCATGAAAACTTTCTTTCCTTTGTTAATCACTAGTTCCTTGCCTTCCATGCCCACTCATGATGCCAACCAACATGGCAAACAGCAACAGCCAACACCACTGTGCCTGCTGGCTAAAGTCCAGTCTGTATCTGGTTTCTCTGTTTACTTCTAGCCTGTTAGCAAAAGGAAAAATGATTATATCACATGCTTGAACTTGCCAATGAATAAGGGCACAGAGACTGATTCTGAATGACAGCTTTGCCATGCAGTAGAAACTTCGAATCTGACCCAAATGAAACCATTGTTGGAAGATCCATTCTTATGTCAGCTCATGGTCAGAGCACCAACACAGGAACGCCTCTTCCTAGCTGCACGTTAGGGGCTGGCACTAGCCCCACTGACGAGTAGCAAATAGCAAGAATATGGTACACACAGCTGACGATCTTTGAAAGTCAGCTGGGACTCACTTCTTAAAGGAGCAGTAAACTTCAAAAACCCCATACCAAGAACTGGACCTAATGCCTAGATGACGAATGGAGACAGGAGCACAAATTCAAGCATAACCTTCGTAAAGGTTCGAGTTAAATGAGATGATGTCCCTGTGTTGCTTAGGAATATCTGAGAGCAGGCATGTGTGGAGGCGTGTATGAAATTAGACTGCTAGGAGTTCACTGTTGAAGCTGGGTGATGGGTACTTGAGGGCTCAATATAGCTGTCTCTATTTTGGATATGTTTGAAATTTTTCATAACAAAGAGCTAAAATGAAATAAAACTAAATAAAAAATTTAAGCTACCAAGTTCCAAACGTCTCAGACCTATGAATCAGGAAGTCATTGTTGGCTAAACTATTTCTCTTCTAGGTTCATCAACCTCATGTTTACTAATCTGTTCAGACCACCCATAACAAGGAACAAAGAAAGCAATTTGTTCAAGTAATATACTCTCATCCGTAACTCAAGTTTACGCCATTTTTCTACCAACCTTGTAACTTTTTTTTTTTGAGACAGGGTCTTGCTTTGTCACCTAGACTGGAGTTCAATGGCATGGGGCTCACTGCAGCCTCCAACTCCGAGGCTCAAGTGATCCTCCCATCTCAGCCTCCTAAGTAGCTGGGACTACAGGAGCATGCAACCATGCCTGGATAATTTTTCGTTTGTTTCTTTCTTTCATTTTGTAGAGACAGGGCCTCTTTACGTTGCCCAGGCTGGTCTCAAATCCCTGGCCTCAAGTGATCGTCCCA